TAAACAACTGATGTAGCTGTGATGAATCAGCTGATTGTATAGCACTTCAAAGTTCATTCATTTCTAGAAACTATTGTGTAATAATTAATATGTATATGTAATTGTACAATAGATTTTTTTGTTTCCATTCTTTCAACATCCATGCCAATGATCCACGTTACAATTTCAGTGACCATTGACAGAAGGCAGGCAGAATGTATTGCGTAATGTCAAGTGCCAGGCCCACTCCACCTTCACCTTGGAGTGCCCTGCTTAATTTTAAAACCTTGGAGAACGCTGGTATACATGTAAAGTGTGGAGACAGTTCAATACAGCCCTGTTTGCATTCAAGTGCTCTGTGGGAAGTGGGGGGGGTGGTTGTCACTAAGCTTCAAGTTCAGACATATACCAGACTTGGTTATCTCTGTTGTGTAGCAACAGCCAATTTTAGTTTTTTAACTAGTCCCTGTTCAGTTGCAGTCCGGAAACTTAGGGATTGACCTGCATCCGTCCATATCCAGCCACATCTCACACATGATTGGACCAATCTTGTTCAAACTTCGTTTATACATCAGACATTTCATTGAAATATGCACATGGATTTCTTTCATGCTCGGATTCAAGATGGTCAAATTGTAGCCATTTTAATGACAAAATCGAATCAAAATCACACATTTTCACCCTTCTGAAACTGGATCTCTGTCTTGTATGGACGGATTTGGTTTAAACTTGGTACATTCATTGAACACAAAGGGACCTTGATGCGCTACATTTTATTTTTTGGATTAGATTCAAAAGTCTATGGTTATGCATATTAGGTATGATGTAAAAGTAATAATTTTCACTAGCATTTATTTTTAATTTCCTCATTTTCGAGTTTATTCACATGGTTTTAAATTCATTGATTTACCAGTGAAACATTGTGTTCAAATTTAATAATACATGTTCACATGAATTTAATTTAGCAGTTATCTGATAATTGGATGGTCTCAATTTATTAAATTTCAGGTCATTGTTCATTTGGTTCTCTCTGCATCTATGGACATTTAACACCAGAAGTTAAAGAAGCACTGGAAAGGGGTGAGTTTATGTGTTAAAGCCATTCTGATTTGTAGTGTACTGGTATATACATTGAACAAGTATATTAATTGTGTGGCCCAGACAAAATATTTCAAGTTACAGCATGTTTATTCTGTAATGATATTGTTTTTGTATATTGCTTGTTTCAGAAGTAGAGCAATTAGAACAGCGTAAATTACTAAAAAAAGTAGATGATGATGATGAAGATAATGAACCTTCTCTGGAGGACTGGTTGAAAAAGAGGTCAAAGAGAAAGAAAAATGAAAACTCGACAGAAGATGAGAGTCCACATTCTGAAGCTGATGAAAGTACTGTCACCCTTCCGCTTGAGCTCCAAGGAATTGCCAATCTTCCCCCTTCACTGCTGCCACCTCCACCGGGAGGATATGAAGTCAATGAATTAGCAGAATGGGGGTGGTGATAGTGACACTACGTGACATGAATTTAAGCATTGGTTCAAAAAACTAAATAGCAAGAATTTTCTGCATCGTCTCCCAATTGGAGATTATAATTTTAAACTTGTTCATATAAAGGGTGTGTCACTAAGCCTCAAAACTTAAGAACTTGTGAACAGAAAACACTTGCAGCAAATGTTATTTTTCTATGTTTTTTTTGTTATTTTATCTTAACTGACATTGAGTAACATGTTCACATTAATAAAAGCATGTCCTGCATGATACAAGAAAACAATTTCTCTATTTAAGACTACATTGTATTATTTTACATTTCAGCATAAAATGACATATTTCATATATATCAATAAATATTTACAGAGTTATGTAAAAGAATATGTATACAACAAATATGGTATCATTTTATTCCAAAACATGCAGTGTTCTGTGTTGAATCTTATATCATTATTTTCAAGGGTGCTTTTTTTGAGCAATTTATCTCGCCAAAGTTTAGGGGCAACATTTATCTATATTTTATACCAACTAGATAATATTTCTATTAGCTACATATCTTGATTATAATTTGTGAACAAATTATGTAGATTTATTTAAAAAAAAGTCTCATTTTAAGTTTGGCATCACATTTGAATTTGTCACTAGCCCTGTCCCCCTCGACAATGCTAGCTCAATGTTGTATTGTTTCTTAGAATCTGCTGAAACATGGATCAACAGCCCCCCCTCTGACAGGATGCAATCATGCTGGGCCATGCCAACCAAATTTATTAAACATTTCCAGTAATTTTAAACTGCTACATTTTTGTCTTCTTTATAAGAGTAGCCACCAAGGCTGTCCATCCAGTTTGATGACTGTAAAGAAAAAAAAAGAACATTCATTTGTCATCAATATGAAGACGCTGTAATTCAAGCGTTATGAAAAAAGTCTTTGTAGTTTTAATCAAGAGTTGTGATGTGAAAAACCCATGATTTATGAGTGATCATAAAATGGATGCAGCTAACTAGTACTATGAGGGTACTAGTATTATACATGAAGATTTGGTGATGCTATGTGGGAATTCCACAGTTTAATAGTCTGTTGCATAACCTGAAAACAGCTCTAGTGTTACAAGCAAAGGTTTTCAATTGACCTGATTTCAAGGAGTAATGTTCTTATACCAGTCCTATTTTTAGCAAATCATTTCAAACATTTTGATAGCTGTATCATAGTGAGTCACTCGTCAACATATCTTACTGGGTACATTCATCAACTTGGATTGTTTGAGCATAAGTAATAGACAATGACTGACCTTGCTCCACATCCCCGCCCTGTGTCACCATGGAAATATTCATAAAAAAGAACCAAGTCCTTCCAATTTGGATCTTCAGAATACCGTAAAGAATTTCCTTGAAATAAAAAAAATATAATTAATATTTGTGATTTCACTAAATCCAGTGTAAAATCGGCCTAACATCGTGCTTTCTAAGGTAACCTAATGCCTAACCATGATGATCAATGAATGTAATCACAGTCATCTATTGACTGTAAATTTGATTGGTTGAATGAAAATGATGTCAACTGTGCCTAGTTATGATGCTAGTAATATCTCATCATGGTCAGCTTTTCACTGCAAATTTGATTGGTTGACTGAAAATGACATCACTGTTAGGGACTAAATAATTTTTGTGATTCTAGGCCATAGTGTGTGATGTTTAAAGCGCGGTAGTCGTCGAGATATATGGTCCCATATAAACAAAGATGGTGACTTTGACTGTTGCGCAGATCAACGAGTACGAACTGACACGTTTCCAAGCTTTAATTAGGTAAAGTTCATGTGATTGGAAGGTATCGAAGGAGTCACTGGCGGTAATCTGTGCAAGTCGCGCCCAGGTCAAACCTCATACTTGTGATTTCCATTTGAAGAGCGCATTGTATTGTGGGAAAATCAATGTTTATCAACACAAATGTCGAACATGCGCATCGCGACGACTACCGTGCTTTAAATGCATTTGCTTAGATAATAAAATATTTTTTTGCTAATAAAAATAAATAGACCATTATCATGAGATGGTTGTTTATAAGATGTTAATGTAGCTGTAAACTAGCTACTTTCATTTTACATAATTTGTTATATTTTGGTAATTTACCAATCCCTCACCATGGCATGGTCTTTTACCATGTACATCAGGTGAGAATATTGTGACAAGCCTTCTACTGATATCCATGGCAACTGCTTTCAGTGATAGTTTGTTTCCAGATCCTCTTGGGTATTCTACCATCATTGTATCACTGTAGAAATCACTGTACATTTGAAGTGATTCTATAATCAAATAGTTCACTGGAAAAAAGTTTAAATGCAATAATATAAATAGTATCAAATGTATACATACTAGCCGGATCTAGAAGATAACCTGAATATACAAGTATGGTGATATTTGATGAAGATTTAATTCCTTGTGACATCATTTGAATGCATTTTTAACCAATAGCGTCACAAAATGCAGTGCATGTTTGCAAAGGAACAGGCAAGCAAGGACCCAAGCAAAATAACCTTGATGTTTATGTATCACCAAACTGTTGTAGAATTTTGAGATCATCCTGAAATTTATGCAACTTCTTCCATACTCATGAGATATTGCATATAACACCATGCAGTTACATGAACATACTGTATTAAAATCATTTTATTAAGTTTTCGCAAGGACATGGGGTGTCAGTGACTTCCGCAAAATATGTATTCACGAATGCCTAAAATCCTGAAATCGGGAAAATTTGTAGCAGTGAAAATAAATGATTTATAGAACCCTTAATTTATAAATCCTGGACATTATATGGGAAAATATAAACCCCATACACTCTCAATCATTGCATCATGGGATTTCAGTGGGATAAAAATTGCATATGTTTTTACTATTATCATGTATTCAATTCTTTTATAATCTATTCTCTATTTCCTTCTCTATTCTGTATTGTAGTCTTGTCTCATAACGTCTCGTCTATTTGGGAGTGGAACATGACACTTGATCCACCAATCAATACTCACTACATATCCAGACGGGTCCCCTCCAATTGCTATTACCACCAAACATATCAGAAGTTGACTCCCCAGGTGAATACTCAATGCTGTACTCCTGTGTTTGTGTCTTCTTTTCTCCAGTAGGCTGAGGTTCTGATTGGTTCTGTTCATCCTCGGTACCATCATCAGTTTGACTTATTTCCATTTCATTGGACTCTGTTGTACAAGATTGATCATCCTCATCTGATAAGCCTTCAATTGTCATAGACAATGTGTTTTCTTTGTGGAACTATTTAACAAAATGAGGATATGACCATTAAAAAGCAAGATGGTAGAAAAACTGCCCACATTTTAATATTTTTTTAGGAAGATGCAGCAACAACTTTTGTCCATTAAAACGTTTTCCAGTATATCTTATTTTTGTCAAAATTTTCACTGTGCAGATTATTCTTCTCAAATTAACCACCCCAAACTTTCTTATAGTTGATCCCTTATATAGTTGACAATTGGTTAGAATGATTGTTACATGAGTGGCCATCAATGTTTTAAAGGGCAGTAGTCGTCGAGCTGTGCATGGGCGAGATATGGGTCTCATATAAACAAAGATGGCGATTTTGACTGTATCACACACCAACTAGTACAAACTGAGAGGTTACCTGCTTTAATTAGGTTTTGTTTTGGTGTTTGGAAGGTATCACTGACAGTAATTAGTGCAAGTGGCACCCAGGGCAAAATTCATACTCATGATTTCATTAGAAAATCGCATTGGATTGTGGGAAAATCCATGTTTATCAACATAAATGTTGCACATGCGCGGCGTGACTACCATCTTTAAGAGTTAACAAATTTCAAAATGACTCGATTTACTGAGTTTTTAACTTGTCGTACATTATCCCTCTTGTATTTGCTCTATTAGTAGCGCATATGGCTTGGCAAATGAGAGAGGGGTTTCTGATGGTTGAATAGATGGTTGAATTGAATATTTTACTGGTCCAGCATTCAATAAGCAAATACAGTATTGACTTTTTCAATTAATTCAACAGCGTGAATTCAACTATGAACAACCAAATTAACATATGTTGTACGTGTAGGGGTGGTCTTATTACACTGTTAAGAAAAGTCTCAACAACAAGCCCAGTACAGTTTTTTGAGAGTTTTCGACCTATGTTTTCACCCCTTGCTGTTGTCAGGTGGTGAATATATGCTCGGATGTTTGCTCCCGAGAATAGGAAAATTGATAATTGTGTTCTATGGTCTCTGAATTCATACCTTTGATAGTGATCTGATGCCATGAGGTGATAAGAACTCATCTTTGTCTAAGAGATAAGACAGTATACTGTCTAACTGTCGTTTATCTGGTATTGACAGAAATATTTTATTTTCATCTTCCTTGTAGAACACCTGTCAGTTAATAAAAAGACAACAATTAAATTATACATGCAGCACGGGTATCACTGAATTTAAAAACTTATCATTTATGTTTTCATTTCACAATTTCTTTAATTAATTCCATTGAGTTCCCAAATTTATTTAATATTTATTTTAGCGAGCTCTGTAAATAACATGTATGTACCGGTAATTAAAAGTATGGAAGTTATCTACATGTATATAACCTGAAAATTTGAAAATGGCGCACTTCCGTTCAATGGGAGTTGCTATTTTGTTTGTTGTTTCATAAATTATGTGAAGAGAAATTGCTCATTCATGATAAAACTTTATTCAGAATGTTGATAAGGCCATCATTTCCTGGCAAAGAACTGAAAACAGTTTTACTTTGAATAGTGTTTTGAATCAGTGTGTTTAGCAGAGAAACTTGAATCATGCATGGCGCCATCTTGAATCCCACTCAACTGGCGCATGAACTAATAAATAATTTGGACATTCTATCGTAACGTCAGTCCAATTTTTTGTGAATCAATAAACTACTCGGCTGCGTTCGCTCGGAAGGCATTGCCTACTACATATTAATTTTTGTTGATGATTGGAAATAAGTGGACATATTGCTTAAATTTCTTGATGAAATATTATGGAAGTTTAATTTAGTGCCAAATTTGAATTTGGTGTTAATTACCTCAATAGGCCTTTGGTGCAAATGGCTGCTAAGTATGCGTTCATTTCCCTCCCGTCATCATGTCTACTCTTCTGGATACCATGGTTACAAACGTCAAGGGAACAGTCGACGCAATGACGAGACAGAATAGAACACTATTTGAGGGTTAAAAATCATTGTTTCTTGCCTTGCTCTCATTGAGAAATGTTAGCGATTTCCGTAATTTATGGCATTCATAGGGACAAAATTTTGTGAAAGTCATCGACATGCCGTGCCTCAGGACCAGAGAAATTATCACTTCCAGAACATTTCATGATTTTCACAGACTCGTGAAATTTGTGAATATTTGTCACTCCCAAATTAAAGCTGTTTACAGTATATTACCCTTGAACAGATATCTTTTCTTTTAGTCTGATACCACTTCAATTTGTCTTGGAATCCTGGTACCGAGTTGATAATGTCAGCGTCAAGAACACAGCATGCAAAGAACGGTATGATTCCGACCAGAGAATGCAACCTAAGTGGTGTTATCCCACCGTCATCTTGATATAGATTATCATAATATAAACCATCAGATTCATGCCATAAACCTGCATTTATAAAAAAAAGAATCTCCATTAAACATGTTTTAATAACTTTTAATTCAATCATGATTAATTGATGAACCTCATTAACCTTCTAGAACCTGTAATTTAGTTTGCATACTCATGTACGCACCAATGAATGCTACTGGTTGCAAATGGCCAGAAGGAATACAGAATTTTGTGGCCATTATAATAGATACCTTGTACTTCTTCATTAAGGCCATTGATTGAGCTGGATATCAGCAGGAAATGCTGTAGGAATTCCCCCGCCATGTCTACATATACTGGATCATGCTTGCAGAGTTCTAACGCTATCTCCATCATCTTGAGTGCATAGAAACCCATCCAACCTGTGGCATCAGCCTGATGTGATTGAAGAATAAAAAAAATGATATTTGTCAGATGAGTGCATATTTCATGCAGAAGTTTAAGCTCTCAGAAGTTTAAAGAAAAATCCATGGAGCTAGGAAAAAAAATCTAGCACTAAAATAAAAATCAAAGAAAGCTTAGAAAGAACTCCCGTGTGCCGAGAGTTTTGGAGACACATTAAAAATTAATTCAAAATTACTTATACTTGAGATATTGATGGAATAGCTGAAAACTAATTATGCAAATAAGGTAACTAATATGAACAGATTTAAGTGTAAAACTAAAGGTCTG